TACACCCAAAATTAAAAGTGTGAAACCTTTTTCTGTGTGTTTTAAACTAATTCCATGACTCCATTTTTTGTTAACACAAAAGTTCACATAGAAAAATGTAATATGAAAGTTTTTGAGATACAAAACAGGATGAACATATTGAAAAGATTCAAACTTTGTTTACGGATTCATCCTTCTTAGCCACTTCTCCACCATTCTCCAACGGTGGTAAACTCTGTACAAAAGGAAAAACGTAAAAAAGAAGTCAAACCTCTCATGCGCAATTCATCGAACACCTTATGTGCATACAAAACCAAGATGAAGAAGGCTTACGAGATCAGGCTTATAGATGTTGTGGACGACGGAGGCGCTGGCTAGAAGGGAAGCAACGACGACGACTGTTGACCATGCAAGTGACGGAGTTCCCGTCGGCAACTTCCCTCTATACGTTTTCTTGTTCATCTTCTGGCTCTGCTTTTCCGACTCAGAACGCCTGCGTGTACTATACTCTAAACTTCCCTCCCTTTATAAATTTTTTTGTACTATTAATCAAAGATTGAAAAATGGGCCAAACTATTACATTCGAATTGAAATACAAACTAAACCCAAGAAACAAAAAAACCCTTTTCGAATAAGGCCCAAAATAAGGTGATTTCTAATTTTTCAGCCCAATATCCCCAACTCTTAAACAGATGGAATTTGTAACGTTCCAGATGACCCTAGTTGGAGAATTTCGCTATCCTTCGCCGGAATTTTGTAATCGAAAAGCATAAAATTCTGGTTTTCACCGTTGCAGTGACCTACTCTTGTGATAGTCGGTGATCGAGGTCGTTGAAGATTTTTGCCGTTGACACTCCTTGTTTGGACCTCTCTTGAACGGCTTTTATCGCACTTGGTTTCGTCTTATGGTCTTCGTGTTTACCCGGTAACCTTCTAAGCCTAACTAATCTTGGTCGAACACTCAAGCCATCACTCCGTTTAGCTCCATAAGCGTTTATGTTGAGCTACAGAATGAAAATTTGTATGCATATATTTCTATATTTTTTAAACTTTTTTGCTGTATAGGGCTACAATCTTTGTAATCCTGAACCTATTTATTCTATGAAATATTTACCTTTCATCAAAAAAAATCGCAATTCATATGAGATCAAAAACCAGAAAATTAGATAGAAATATCCGATAGAATAATACAACCCAAACACACAAAAAAAACCCAACATGCATAAGGATAAAAACCAAATTTAGAAAAACAAAAAAAAACACTGCATTTCATAGCATACTCCATAAACATTCATGGGTTTCTTGGTTTAGCAAAGAGAGAAAGCAGCTCACGAACAAACTTTGCTTTTAACAACATATATTCGAGTTCGTTGACCTGCACAACCTTCCACTTCTCTTCGAATTTCTTCTTGCTCTCCACCGGCAACATGCTCCACCTTTCTTTCATTGAGTCTTCACTCACACCAAAACTGACCATGTGTTGAACAATAGGAGAATCGTCGAACCAATCTTCTTCCAAAGACTCAAACTTTCGCTTCTTTGAGATCTCCAATTCGTTCTCGTCGCTTGCATGGGGATCCTCTTTTGCCATTGGAAACGTTTCAAAAGGGCGATTTTGATTTCTCAGTGAGAGAAGATTAGACGAATTGATGAGAAATGCTTTTGGGGAATTAGGGTTTATAGTCGTTTAGATCTGTCGATTGGTGGTGTGACCGAGAGAGATTTCATTTAATATTTTTCATTTATTGTTATTTTTGGAACTTGTAAAAAAACGATGGGCCTTTTAAATTATGAATAGGGCCCAACTTTTGTTTGCGTCGGCCCTTATATCACAGTTCCGTATCTATGTTTTTTTTTCCCACTACATTTTTATTGATTCCAAATCTAGTTTACGAAGTCAATATACAGAAATTATGGAAAACAAATTATTACATAAGCATATATATGCGCCATATAGTGAGAAAGATACATAAAAATGAATTTGACAATGCTTTCCGTAGACAAGCCTTACTCGCTAATGGAACAATAACCCCGTTACTTTCATCTTTTGTATTCGATCTTACTCTGATGCGAATCGTGTGCGTGGATAGCTTCTTTTGGCTAAACCTCCAAATTGCATACCGCATGATAAAACCCGATGATTTCGACAATAATTCTGAAATATCGACATTCTGATACCAAAGCTTCTGTATCACAATCATTTTAAAAGATTTTGACTTTGTTTTTCTACCAATTTGATCCCAAATTCGCCTGGTTCCTTCGAGTAGAATGCTTATTCCTATGATTCCAAGATCAAAAACCCAAATGATATCTCCACACCATGGGTTAGGAGAACAATCGCCGGTTAATAACCGAAATTTCCTCCGGTAAATAAGTATATCACCGGAACCAAACACTCTATTAAAAGAGACATTGCATTTACACTTCCAAATTGAAAAGATGCATCGGTTAAGTAACAGCTTGAGAAACATCCCATATACCGGTTCGTACCTTGTTCGAGACGTTGCGACATAGATACGGCAACTCAACTAGATGCGTTGTGACTGACAACACCGATTATCATGGTGGAAAACACAAGATCCATGTCCGTGAAACGACTTCAATTGAAGAAGACATAGAGAGGCAACGAACACCACAACAATTTCCTTCAAAAGCATCATCAACCAAAGTGAATCTTTACTCACTTTATTTGATAATTATGATAAGAGAAATCCAATCTGTAAAGCATCGGTGGATCTCTCTTACACTTCTTCAGGAACGATGGGAATCGTCCCTAGGGAGCGTTTGTTTTGTACAGTCAAATTTTGAGTAGATTAATAATATTCGTGTATGAGAACGTTTTCAAGACCACAGCGCAAGATTAGAGACAAATTCAGGTCAGGCAAAAAAAAAGAAAACCTTTAGTATCATTCAAAGAGTTGTAAAAAACCAGGAAAAATAATGTATAAAGATCAATATTTCCAATTTTCAAAAAA